GAGGGAAGGATGGAGGAACCCAAAGCCAAGAAGGGAAAATAGAGAGAAATCATTCTGTGGGTAGGATGTGCAATATGTCACTGTTCCCACTAGGAGGGAAGTTTAATTTCTCTCACACGCCCCCACAACTGCCAGAAAAGAGCTTGTTGAGGAAGAAGAGATTTTGGTCAGGGATGAGTTGTATTTTGGTGGTTCCCAGACCAGATTTAGTCATCATTACTATTTCAGGAAATGGTTGTGAGTATTCTATGTAGTGATTGTCCTTCAAACAATATCCCAAACAAACTTTGAGGGTATTTTTTATTAAAATTGCAGTGTGGGTATGCAATGTTGTTTGGCATATAATGAACCTTCTCTAGTAGGGGGGGAGGCTAATGAACTTCCTATGTTATCTGCTTTGAATCCATCTCTCTGGAGATGTACACATACTCTAGTTCAGACTAGATTTCCCAGGGACAGAGGCAAATAAAAAGTTTGGAGATACAGTACACAGTCTGGATGTAAATGGGCAAGTTGGCTTCTTGATCCAGCAAATGAACAGGACCGCTAATCCCTGAAGGGCCCCCATCCTTAAGGTAGAATTGGGAGTTCTGGACCTGCCAGAATCCATGTTAGCATGAATTCTGGTAAGCTCCTTAGCACGCAAGAAGGTAGTTTCATCATTTTAATATTTAATATTTCTCTGTAATGCTTGCACCTGAAGAATTAAGTACAGGCAGTCCCCGAGTTACGCGGATCCGACTTATGTCGGATCCGCAGTTACGAACGGGGCCTTCCCTCTCCCTGGTCTCCAGCAGACCAGGGAGAGGAAGCAAAGCGGCGGAACACGCGGGCAGCGGACAGCCCAGACGCGTCTGGGCTGTCCGCTGCCCGCGTGTTCCGCCGCTTTGCTTCCTCTCCCTGGTCTGCTGGAGACCAGGGAGAGGGAAGGCCCCGTTCGTAACTGCGGATCCGACATAAGTCGGATCCGCGTAACTCGGGGACTGCCTGTACTTAATTCTTCAGGTGCAAGCATTACAGAGAAATATTAAATATTAAAATGATGAAACTACCTTCTTGCGTGCTAAGGAGCTTACCAGAATTCATGCTAACATGGATTCTGGCAGGTCCAGAACTCCCAATTCTACCTTAAGGATGGGGGCCCTTCAGGGATTAGCGGTCCTGTTCATTTGCTGGATCAAGAAGCCAACTTGCCCATTTACATCCAGACTGTGTACTGTATCTCCAAACTTTTTATTTGCCTCTGTCCCTGGGAAATCTAGTCTGAACTAGAGTATGTGTACATCTCCAGAGAGATGGATTCAAAGCAGATAACATAGGAAGTTCATTAGCCTCCCCCCCTACTAGAGAAGGTTCATTATATGCCAAACAACATTGCATACCCACACTGCAATTTTAATAAAAAATACCCTCAAAGTTTGTTTGGGATATTGTTTGAAGGACAATCACTACATAGAATACTCACAACCATTTCCTGAAATAGTAATGATGACTAAATCTGGTCTGGGAACCACCAAAATACAACTCATCCCTGACCAAAATCTCTTCTTCCTCAAGAGAATTTTGAGGTACCTTATAGCTACACAAATCACTCTGTTATCAGCCTCTAAAGAGAAAACAAGAAGGCCTGTTTAGGCAGACTGTCTTTTCTGGTCAAAAGAAAGTGAGAGGAGGGTCTCCACCCCAGAGGCAACAGCTTGGGAGCTGAAAGCTGAGAGCTGGATGACTGGGGAAACAGGTGCAGTTGCCCTGAACTGTGACATGTTTGCAACAAAGCTTGTTTACAGTGATCACTAAGGAATTGTTCTGTGACTTTTTCAATCCTCTCCTAACACATACATATTGAGAAGCCTAGAATGATTGTAGTACACTGGTATTTTCAGCATTAACAATGCTGAAAGTATATATTGTGCTCAGAGTACTTTTTGTACTCTTGATAAAATGTTCAACAGATTCTAAAAAAAAATGTGCCTATACATTAAGACAGGTGCTTTTACAAGACCAAGGTCATTTAATAATGCAGAGGATGGTAACTGCTATGTTCCTTATTCAGTAAGACAATTGCTGTAACTTGTGAAGGCTACGATCAGCAGTTTTCTAAAAGCATTTAGCTCAGTGCATTGGCAGGTGTTTGCATTTTCTGGAAAGATCTGTTTCCCAGATTGCTAATGAGTGGCCAAGCAAGCATACAGAGAGTTAATAATACTGCTTAATTGCCACAGTCACATAGAGCAACCACATAATTTATTGCTATTCTGAGCCTCTAAACACTAGAAGAATGATAAACTATATGACAAAGGCTTACTGAGATTGCTAGTTAGTGAAAGTCACTGGCTAAAGTGGAATCTCTCTCTGTCTTTAGCAGATGGTATTTCTAACAGCATTTT